TGAAATAAATGAATCTAATGCATAAGCTATACCTATTCTGCTTATATTCTAATCTTTGAAATTTTGATTGAAATCGAATTATACAGAGTGGTGCGTCATATACGACGCGGTTTTTGCACGGAGAACAAAAGTTTGTATTGAAGTGAAATTTTGTGAGCTTATGTAAGTCAATTTAAAGCATTTTCTAAAATTATATTCTACAGGGTGTCCCCGAAAAAAGTTACACATCAAAGTTTTTTTTTTCAATGGAACACTCTACATATTAATGGCTTTTCGGATTCTAGTGAAAAAATAAGGGCTAAAATGTATTTTTTGAAATACATTCACCGGCACGAAAAATGGGCACCTTAAAACTTTGATGTATTTTAAAGTTTAATATATTTCCCAAGTAGCACAATAAATTATTATGAGAGTGAAGTGTTTTATATACGGTTTATTAAAGCGATCTCATACACTGAATTGTTATATAATAAACGCAAAGAACACAAATTTATCATAGAGACAAATGTGTTTTATTATTTTGTTATATAGATGTTTTGGCAACTAATTTATAAAACATTTTTATAAGTATATTCGTTAATATGCTCAGGAACGTTTATATAACAAATTTTATACAACTATTTATGCTTGAGCTAGATATATTTTATAATTTATTTATAATATAATTTAAAACAATTATAAAATATTTACAAAACAGCTATAAAAATATGCATTTTAGTTTATTAAAACATTATCGACATGTTTTATAGCTGTTTTTACGACTGATTTATAAAACAATTTGATCTTCGCAATAATTTAGTCGCGACCGCTACTCTAAGAAAACAATTTTGTAATTGTTGTTAAAGAAACGAATTAAAATTCTTATAAAGCGATTAAAAAACAAAAGCGTTTCCCCAAATACAAAAATGTTATTTAGGAAACCTTATAAACATACTATAGCACTAACCTCAAACTTTGGTTTTGGTCAGAGTTTAAAATATATTTTAAAATTGTGATTTTATCTCTAAAACTTAAAATGTCAAGTATTTCTAACTGGAAGATTTTATTTTTGATATTAAACATATTTGTGTCTAAGTAAAGCTAACAAAAAATAAATAACATAAGCAAAATGAATAAAAAATAATCAGGTTTTGAAATAGCGGGATAACACGTGAAGTGCAACAATATTGCTATATTAAAACCCGGTTCGACTACATAGTAGTGAGGCCCTACGTTATTATTCTGTGGCATTCGTTCGGAAAATTTTAATTTTTTAAAATGTCTTCCTATGTTTTAAGTATTGATGAACCTACTAGCGAATTTAAAAACACACGTCTATAATTTTATTGTTGTAAATGTGACAGCACCGGAATATATAGACGAATTTAATTGTATTTTGCCGACATTATTTTAAGTAATAAAACAAATATGTTCTGTATAGTATCATTGTAAAACAAGTTAATTGTATAACTACTCCCTGAGCAACAAAAATGTTTTGTTAGTCGACGCCATGATTTTATGTTGAATTTGGACGACTGTATGTCGGCCATTTTATCGAGTCGGGATTTACAAAACAAAATAATCGAAATTTAATTCAAAATAAACAAAGTATTTATAAGAAACGAATTAGTTTCCAATAATATCGGATATTGGACAATGTCGATTTTCCAGTTTACAGGTAATTTTGCAGTAATTTCCTAAAAATTAAATATTTATTATAACTGCAAAATCTTCTTAAAATGAAAGCGCCTTAAAATATTTCCACAAATATGGATATATAATAAATAAACAGTAAAATTTGCTCCGCAGGAAAATTTTACTCCGTTTAGGAGCGTTTTAGGCGATATACTTTTTATACAATTTACATTTTTCTTTAAATTAGGCATATCTGTCATTTAAATAGAATATATTATGTGTACTTTGCCATTTTAAAATCAGTTTTATCTTGGTCACTATAAATACACGATATTATAATTTTATTCTTGATAACTAAAAAACAAAATGCAGATGCATGCTACAAAAATATTTTAACTGAGACAAATATGTTATTTTTAAAATATTTATAAATCTTTTATAAAACAGTTTTATAAATATTTTGTAATGTACTCAATATTATTTTGTAAGCGTTATCGGAGAGTTTTTAACGTACTTCTAAATAAGTATATTGTTTTATAAACCTGCGCCTTTTTCGTGTTTGTAACTATTGTATTAGGGTTTATAAAGCACTTAAAAAAATAGTACATATTTATCATGAATTGTTTTATAACACTCTATATAACCATTTTAAGCACATTTGTGCCACTTGGGTTGGTTATAGTGGGCTGATTTTGATGATTTTTTTAAGCAATACGTAGCCAAATTATTTGATCTCTTTCTAAATTAAAATTAAAACTCTCCATCTATTAATTATACGAGGGAAAACAAAATGTTGATATTTTGGCGAAAGTTTGAAACACCCTGTAGAATATGTTAAAACAGCAGAAATTTAAAAATCATTTTATCATCTAGATACACCCTTTCTCGATAGTTTGTTTTTTGGTTCATCTCATTAGCTTTATTTTTGTTGGAGATATTCGCTTTTGAAGAAGACATTAACATTTTTTGTTATTCATATTCGCCCTGCAGTAATCTAATGTGACTATGGTATGAGACCAGGGCCGCGTAATTGACGGTAAAAAACAAACAGTAAAATCGTGCTATCTGCAAAATCCATAATTATACCTAAGCTACTTAAGAAAAGGTTTAGTATTTAACAAAAATTCAGGATATCTGTTGTGTTTATCAGCTATTTCTAGAAATAGTTTTCTAAGAAACGGAAATTGACTTCCGAGACTATTATAAGCATCCTAACTAAAATATCTACTCAAATATTGAATTTCCCAATATTGTGTTAATGGGAGGTATTATTAATAAATATCAGAACATTTAGCTTTAGAAAAACTTATTTTATATTTGAAAAAATTAACTTTTATTTCTTAAGCTTCATTCAGAACCATGAAAGTACTGGAATAAATTAGTGGTTTCAATTAGTGTTTAGGAATTTCTTTCTCAAATTTCAATGTAAAAATAAGAACTATATAGAGGATATCCCATGTAAAAAAACATAAATTTGAGTCATACTTGAAGAATGACAGCTCCCAATGAAAATCTAGTTACGCCACTGAATTCTACGTGAATAGCTCTATTATGCCCAGTTATCACATTTTCGATAAGATATAAGAAACCGAAATATGAGAGGAGTCGAAAAATTAAATAACTTCAAATTCGCCGTGTATTTCAGTAAGTAAAAGGGCTAGGACAAATCTGTGCGTACTATCTTTAGTTTCATAAAAAAAGTAGCTTAGTGATGTGAAAACCGCATCTTTGTATCTCTACTCATAAATGAGAAACCCTGTAAAACACACGAAAATGGAAGGAAGGATTTTATATAAGCCAGCATCAGCTGCATCAGCTTCCATTTGGCGGCATTGACTACATTAAAATAAAATTAAATACACGATAATGGGACACCCTGTTCTATTGATGGGGCATTACGATTCTTTTTAGCGAATCAAGTTCACACACGATTCAATTTCTCATATTGACAGATGATTTCTCATATATCTCTACGATTCGTTCATTTGTCTTTTCCAACGAATCACATGCACAATTTACGTTTCATAAAAACAAGAATCGTAACTGGCACTACCGGCGATAATTTGGTCGGAAAATTACTTAAGGGACCAGAAAAAGAACTATACAGTTCTTCTTGATCGAAAAAAAATGGCTTCCAGCTGGCTTGGAAATGAACATCGATGACATTCCCCATATAATCTATACTAATATATAAAATCCTTAAGTGACTCACTGATTAATCACGATCCTGCTCAAACCACTCAACGTAAGAAGCCCAATTTTGGCATACAGGTTTACTCTAGGGTGTGGAGGTTCGATAAGAAGGGATTTTTCGAAATTCCAGTTCCAAGGGGGTGAAACCACCCCTCAAATATTACAATATTTTTTATTTAAAAAACGGTCAAGTTTCCGAAAAAACGCGTAAACACGTATATTTTATTACCTCCTCATCTCCTTATCACGATCCTGCTTAAAGCGCTTGACGTAAAAAGCTGATTTTTGGAAAACGGATTGACTTTAGGGTGTAAAGGTTCGATAAGAAGGGATTTTTCGAAACTCGAATTCTAAGGGGGTGAAACCACCTTTCAAATATTA